CCATGCCACCTAGCGCAACGAGACGGCGGCCGCGCTCGCACGCGGCGTCGCGTCGCGTCGCTTGCATCAGCTGTGCGTGCAAACGAAGCCAAGCCGGTCGTCGGTGATTTTACTAAACCGAGATAAGTAAGAACAGTCAAATAGCTAACGGGCGGGGAACATCCGACTGACTGACTACGGATTACACAGTATACGATCACGTGGCCAACTGACTGAGGCGTGAGGTCACGGACAGGTCGGAGGACGAAGGAAATGAAGGAAAGGGGAGACAAGAAGAAGAAGGCAACGGAAAGCATTTAATCTGGTTTGATGAAATCGCACTCGCTAAAGAACCACTTTTGCACGGTTGACTAGCAGACGGGCTGAATGGGAACGATTCTGCGAGATGTGATTGATCAAGTTGACAGTTGTCAAGCTAAATCAACCGTGCCGACCTCTTGATCAAATGAGACTAGTAAGACGGCTATGTAGCTGCTGCAGTGATGTCCTCGACGAAGCGTCCTCAGTCAGCGGCACGAAAAACACGCAAACGCGCGATCGCGTCGCGTTCAAAGTTGAAACCGGAAAAAGCGATCTTGGGACTAGGGCAATCAGCTGAGTCTGAACCTCAAACACAATTTAAGGTCCATGTTTCATGAGACTAAGACTAAGACTAAGCTTCATGCCGTTTCAGGCTGTACGGACACAACACAACGGAATCGAAACGGCTCACGTCCGTAGACGACGACCGAGTACCGCAACGCGGCGCGGCGCGGCGCGACGCGATTCGACGCGGCGACGACAACAATGACAAGTGCTGCACGCGCAACAGCTACCGCGCCAGCGCCGCAGCGACGACGACTGGATCGAGTGATACAAAGCGAAGCGAAGCGCTTACCTCCTCCACGGACGTCGTGCCTCTTCGGACTGCGTTGCTTTTTGCGAGGCATTCTGTACAACGGTACAACGGTGACCGAACCGGGACCAATGTCCAGCGAGTGACCGAATTGCCGGCTGCTGTCCGCTGCGGACGCCGCTGTTGCAATAGCCGATGCTCCGCTTTGCGACCGACTAGACTGCCAGCACGCGGCACTGGAGCGCGTAATCCTCCGGCCGTTGTCTGCTGCAGCAACTGCTGTCAGTCATTCATGTGACAACAGGGCTGACGCGATTATACCGTGCGAAGAAGCAACGGCCGAAAAACTTCCACAAGATGCACCCGGGGCGGCGAAGGAAACTACGTGTCGCGAAGCGGCGAAACGAACTTTGCGACCGTCGCCGCGGCCGCGGTTGCGGCCGCCACCGCGCGAGGGTCAGTCGAGGCGACGCGACGCGACGCGACGCAAGGCGTGGCGTGGCGTGGCGAGGCTAGGTGAGGGCGCGCGTCAGCGACCCAGATGGTTCGTTCCGTTCCGCGGCGCTGTCTATTGTAGGGAACAGTAGTTGCCGCGCGGCGTGCGTTGTACGACACTTTTTCCGTCTCACCGCTGTCCGTCAGTGACTAATCCAGCTGAACAACGGCGACACCTGAGTAAAACTCCTCGCACGTCGGTCACTCTGCCGGTCGTCCTTTTTCTGTTTCTTTCTTTACTCTATTAAACGGCAATCATATATTCGGTGCTGAGAAGGCAAATGCGTTGGTTGGTTCGCTGTCAAGCGCCAGCTATAATGCATTAATTGTCAAACTTGTCACAATGCATGAATCACGTCTGACTGTGATGTGCCATGTTTACTCGCACTTTCCTACTACAAACTATCTCACAGGTGACGTCACAAAAAATAGGGAGTATCGGACGAATCGTCGCCTGATGAGTAAGGCCGATTTTGTTGAAATTTACCCGACCACGTTTGTCCTGATTTAATGCTGATTCTCGGCAGAACAGTGAAATTGACAACGTTGATGAATCGACCTCATCACCGACGACGGCCTTATTCTCTGTCAGTGCTGGTGTCACTGGGAAGCTACGATACGCACAAGATCAATAATTAACCTCGTTGCTTCAGAGCCCGTCGACGGACAAGACCACAGCACGTCGCCTCTGAGCCTCACATTTCGAGAGCTTCGTACGCAAAACCGGTTCCGGTAAAGTAAAGCTTTACTAGCAAACAAGAAACTGAAGGAGTGTAGTGATTCACTGCACGAGAGCTGTTATGCTTAAAATGGAGAATTCTTTGAAGCTATGAGTTGCTCAGTGACAGAAGGATCCGTCAATGTTGCCTGCTTCGTGGCTTTGTGAAAAACAGCGCTTGCGGAGCGAATCGTAGGCTTTAGGGGTTTGCGCTGGTCACTGCGTGGCGCTGCTGCGATTGGCGTCTTGGCCATGACCGCCTTCACAACGGTCGGTCGGCTGGTCACTGCTCGTTGTGGCAGTTCTACGTGTCACTGGTTGTGCGGCAGTTCATCCATCAGAAATTTGAAGTTTCAAAGCAAGCAACTGCGAAATTCTGGTAATTACTTCTGATGCACACGATGGCGAGCATAATTCCGTAGGAAAAAAATCATTGACGTGATTGAACGGGATTAAATGATGGATGTGACTGATGGTCAGCCTGGATATTGCGTTTTCTGTGCAAAAGTTAGACAGTAAATAAGAACGAGCCGAGCTGAGCCAACGCAGTCGTCGACGACGACTAAAACATTGATCCCAGGCGCAGGTGGCAGCAGAACTCGACCAACGAATCTTACATGCCACTGGCAGCAGGACTCACATGGACAGCGCTGTCACGGATCATGTGCAACACGAGCAACAAAACAAGGAA